TGGAAAAACGTGAGCTGCGCAAGTCCAGAGCTGCTCATACATCATCGACAGTGTCATTACATGTTTGCCCGACATGTGACAGGACGTTCCACGCCCGAATCGGACTGATCAGTCATCTTCGGACGCACAAAGCCCGGTCATTGAAAGAAGGAGTTGTTGAGGTCTTCATCGATAACGATGGACAAACATCATTGTCCATGAGAATTGAGACTGTCGTATTCGGAATGAGGGGCAAGAATACCTGGCATGCTAGATGGTCTGCCCTGAGCTCTCCGACATTGATGTGAAGCGATAACTGCTCTGCAAACCAGCGACCTTGGGACCTGAGCGTCTCCAGGTGGGCTCCCCAGCCCAGTGCTGAGGCATCCAAGACCAGGTTTGCTGATGGCTGGAGTTTTGTGAAGGTAATTCCCCCGCAGACTACTCGGTGATCCAGCCACCATGACAGGGAGCTGAGGATATAAGGAGGCACCATGATAGCCCTATCCAGGTGGTGCCTGGAGGGGGAATACACCATAGCCAGCCAGGCTTTGAGAGGTCTGAGTCTCAGCCTCATGTGACGAACCACATATGTACATGAAGCAATGTGGCCCGGAAGGCTCAAGCAAAGCCTGACCGTCGTGACCAGGTGAGCTTGCATGTAGCGTATTAACTCCAAGATTGCCTGAAAGCGATCTTCTGGAAGAAGAGCCTTTGCTAGCTGGGAGTCGAGGACCACCCCGATGAATTCTATTCTCTGAATAGTGTAGTTAGATATTTGGCTCTGTGTGTGTATGTGTGTGTGTGTGTGTGTGTGTGCTCCGTGTGTGCTGTCCTAGCTCTGCACAGACAGTTGGCACAACCGCCCAATGACCACAAGATCCATTAAGGTACGAAGGCACCTAGCCAGGTTTATTGTCAACGAAGCACAGTAATAGCACCTGGCAGACTCCGCGAGGATACTAAGATATGGGGGGAGGGATAGCTCAGTGGTTTGAGCATTAGCCTACTAAACCTAGGGTTGTGAGTTCAATTCTTGAGGGGGCCATTTAGGGATCTGGGGCAAAAATCTGTTGGAATTAGTCCTGCTTTGGGCAGGGGGTTGGACTAGATGATCTCCTGAGGTCCCTTCCAACCCTGATATTTTATGAATTCTATGTATGCCAGTGACAATGGATGCAGCTCAGTTAGTGGCGGGACTTTCCACTGCCCCCTAAGCTGGCCAAAGATACATCTTTATACCCAGATATGAACAAGTTACGTACTGTTATCCTGACCTTATCTTTTAGGGAATGTTTTTGTATCATCCTTGATATTGAGATGTTCTGGTACCACTTGATATCGGGATGTGTTTGCATGAGTACTCGGAACTTAGCACTTTTTAGGAATGTGCATTTTTGCAATATTAGCTGTGTTCTTGCCAGGTTCTGTGAGCAGGTCCTGCCTTATACTTATACAAGGGCTTATGTCTCAGGCTCTCTTCCTACTACGAATGGGTATCAGTGTTGACTTCTGCACATCAATTAGAAGGCCCAACGCCCGGAAGGTCGACTGGATGAGGGCGACGTCCAGCTCCACTTGCACTCGAGATGTGCCCTTGATGAGCCAGCTGTCGAGGTATAGAAATACATGGACTCCCCTTCTCCTGAGAAAAGCTGCTACCACTGCCATGCATTTGGTGAAGACCTTCGAGGCTGCCGAGAGGCCAGACAGCAGGACTGCGAACTGTTGATGTCCTTGGTTTGCCACAAACCTCAAATCTTCTGTGGCCTTGAAAGATTGGAACGTGGAAGTATGCATCTTAAGTCTAGGGTGGCATACCAATCCCCTGGATTGGATCCAGAAATGCAATGATCGATCCCAAGGAGACCATGCGGATCTTCAACCTTTTGAGATAGCGACTGAGTTGACACAGGTTAAGATGAGTCTGAGACCACCACCCACCACCACCACCCCCCCCTTGGCCTTGTGTGACATTATCTGATTAGAAATTTGCATGGTCATACATTGTTGCTACCACTGTTATATAATTGCAATGCATCTTATACAAAGTGTGTCAATTAAGGTGTCAATAGAAAGGAGTAAGCAGCTCGCAGGCTAAATGACCCAGAGTCAATCTTTAGAGACATATTAGAAAAGTATGTGAATGGTAATTAGGGCCATTCCATGTTAGGCTAGAACTTTGAAATGCAAACCTGTATTGTAAGAGAATTGGAGGTCATACTAATTGTATGTGTTTACTTATATCTTGTTAGATGTTACCCATGTAAACAGACAGTTCCTGTCTCACTATAGCAATTGATTCAAAGATCAAAAGGGAATATTAACGTTTAGATGAATCTTGGGTGAAAGTGTCATTTTCTATATGTCTCTTTAAAGTTTGTGATAAACTGCTTCATGGATAAATTACCTTATGTTAACCCCTGTAGTTAATTGCCAGTGATGATTAGGAAATAGGTCTACTTCAAAGTCTCCATGATTGCCTATTGTTCGCCTAAGGACTCTGAGCTGTCAAGAGAAGGCCTGAAACTGTGTGGGAATCCCTTGCTCAATCCCCAGTTTGGACTACTAACCCTACATTACACTCCTATGAGGCATAGCAAATTTCAAGACAGTCCATTCAAAGGTGGATTTTAGAGCACTTGGGAAAGTAATCCTTTAAAAAGAAAGCATTCTGTAACCTTAGCTATAGCAGAGCTGGTGCACTGCTATAGTATTGTATGACATTAATCATCAGCAACTGCTGCTGTATCCATATTCCTAGCACAGGATAATGCTGATGTGGGGGACTTTTATTTTGTTTGTTTGTTTGTTTTTGTTTAAAGGGAGGATGGGTGGAAGGGGTGTCACCCTTCCCTTTATAGTTATAACAGCCCTCCTGTGTACAATACTATAAAATCCCTCCTGGCCAGAGACTCCAAAATCCTTTTACCTGTAAAGGGTTAAGAAGCTCAGGTAACCTGGCTGACACCTGACCCAAAGGACCAATAAAGGGACAAGATACTTTCAAATCTTGGTAGGGGGAAGGCTTTTGTTTGGGTGATTGTTCGCTCTTGGGACTAAGAGGGACCAGACATCAATCCATGCTCTCCAAATCTTTCTGAATAAGTCTCTCATATTTCAAACTTGTAAGTACAGCCAGGCAAGGCGTGTTAGTTTTATCTTTGTTTTCTCAACTTGTAAATGTACCTTTTGCTAGAGTGTTTACCTCTGTTTGCTGTAACTTTGAACCAAAGGCTAGAGGGGGTTCCTCTAGGCTCTTTAAGTTTGATTACCCTGTAAAGTTATTTTCCATCCTGATTTTACAGAGATGATTTTTACCTTTCTTTCTTTAATTAAAAGCCTTCTTTTTAAGAACCTGATTGATTTTTTCCTTGTTCTAAGATCCAAGGGGATTGATCTGGACTCACCAGGAATTGGTGGGGGGGAAAGGGAAGGGGGGGAATAATTAATTCCTCCTTGTTTTAAGATCAAAGGGGTTTTGGTTTAGCGTTCACCAGGAAATTGGTGGAAGAGTCTCTCAAGGCTACCAGGGAAGGGAGTTAGCACATTGGGAGTGGTGGCAGCAAAAGCAGATCTAAGCTGGTAGAGAAGCTTAGAGATTTTCATGCAGGCCCCCACATCTGTACCCTAAAGTTGAATGGGGAAGGAGCCTTGACAAGGGGCTACACATCCATCTGCAGCATAGGAGGCTTGGAGAGGTGTGAAGTTTCCCGTTCATCTTGGAGCTTGTCTATGTGGCATGACAACACGCACAAGAGGGTGTGATTTCTAAAGTGTACCATGGAGATGAATGCAACCTGAAACAAATAGCTCTAAGATATGTGAACTGCCCCTCCAGCCTCCAGTACGCACACAGGAGGGGAGAATGTAGGGCTGACAGGTGCTCCCTACTTCAATCTCTCCCACATGCCTTACTACCATGTCGCCCTACTACCATGTCACCCTTCCCAGTTGCCTTACACACACCCCTTACCTGAGCCTTCAACTCCTTCCCCTCCTGCCCTTTGCCATTTATTCCCCTCCCTTTAATCCACATTTTCCTCCATTGGGCTCCAAGCCCCTGTTCTTTCCCACTCCTCTGCTCCAAGCATATGCTGTGTAATTTGTTGTCTTTTCAAAAATAGTTTGATCACCTTCTGAATTTCATTACATTCCTTCCCACACAACTCCCCCCCCCAAAGCATGTTTTTATTTCTGATGTCTGCCCACGGGTGGATTTAGATTTACAGTGGCGGGGTGTTGCTCAGGTTCAATGGCCACAACATTTGCCCTTAAGTCACATGGGTCCTGTGAGTTGTGGCTGGCTGTGAAGACTCTTGTGCTCCCTGCCCATATGCAGTCTAATCCATTCAGTGTATGAGCTTTAGGAATGTTAAGTCTGAATTTAAATTGAGAGCCTTACTCTGTCTAATATTCTGAATTTTACTCCCCCAAAGTGCTGGGGGAGGAATGCATTCTCTAGGGAGTAACCGGTGTTGGATTATATTGAGTTTTATTAAGGTTATTATAGGTATAGTATAGTTTGGGGTGGGTTTTAGGCTAGGCTTGAGTATTAAAAAGAAATATGCTTTTTAGTTAAGATATTAAGGTTGTGTTAATTAAAATGCTTTTTTTTTTGTTTGGAGTTTATAAGGATGAATTGTTAATTGTATTAGTATATTTTTAGATTGTTTGTTTTAATCAGTAATAAGAATTTTGCAAAAAATTGCTTTTTGGAATAGCATATTGAAATTTTTATTTGTTGTGGTTTTGGTTTTTTTTGTTTGTTTGTGTAGTAAGTGAGCTAAGCAGACTTGTTAAAACCTGTTACGCCCCAAAAATTGTGGTGTGTTTATTAAAAAAAAAAAGTTAAATAAATAAATGGTAAAGTAAAAGTGGAAAAATATATTAAAATAAAGAATGCATGTAAATGGGTGCATGGTTTAAATAAACAATAAAAGAGTAAAATGCACCAGCCTAAAAGTTACAATTTTGGTATTGGTCAGCCAGTTATCTCTAACAGCTGTTCAGAGACTTACCATCCGCAGGCTCTTCTATGTTATCATGCCAAGACATCGGCTTCCTGGTGATCGTGTGAACTGGGGAGAAATGTGATGATGCAGGTGAGTTGCTATTATGGAATCAATATTACAGGCAGTTTCAGGTAAACCACTAGCTCCCCCTAATCTGCGTCCTACCAGCTCACTTAAGCTGTTAAGGAGAATAAGAGAGACTATAGATTGGAAAAGGAGCACTTGTTAATGTCACTTGATTGCTCCTGGAAACTGAAGGGAATCAGCTGTGGTGCCACGGGACCCTGGCATTAGGTGGTGTTTGTGACCAGAGAGCAGAGTTCATCCACTGATCTGTCAGGTTCCTAAACTGTGACCTGCAGGGCACTTGCTGGAAGAGCACAGAGTTCTGGCTGACTACATGGGGCTAGTTCCTCCTTGTTTCTAGCTGCTAAATAGCATTTAAACCCCAACACACACACACAAATCCAAACATTACTTTCCCATGTCAGTGTGGGTGGTGGGTATAAGAGGCTTGGGGAGACTAAGCGGCCCAAAACAGGGCAAGAAATGCTGGATGCAGTGCACCTCTCGTTGGAGCAGCAGTGGCCCACTGCTTTTGGAGCGCTGCCTCCGGAAGCTCTGGAGAAGTGGGGGAGCCATCTGTTCCCTGACTATGGCCCTGCCCACATGCTGCCCCGAGGCCCCGCTCCTGGGCGGCCCCCTCCCCTCGCCTGCTGCTTGCCCCTCTCCACGGTCCAGGCATGCCCCCCCCCACACACACACTTCTAGGGAGCTTCTGGCACTTGTGCCCAGCCTCCCCAAACACAAGAGTCACACGTAGTTGCCACAAGGATGTTACATGATTGTGAATAGGAAGGTGGGAAACTGGAGCCAGGCCAGTGGATAGGGAGGACCTTCCATCTAGGGCCTCCATCCCATCTTGCTCCAGTGTTGTGACCCCAGGCCACCACTGCCAGTTCCAGACCTGCCCCCATATACCCC